ACCCTGTGTTCCTCTTAGCAAGGCTCTGGCTACGCCTCTGCCTGCACGCAGATTCAGATCAAGTCGTCTACGTTGAATGGTGGGCGGTTAAATGTCCGTTGCGCCAATCACGCCTAAGGTAGACAGCTTCCCAGGGGCCTTTTTCTCGAGTGGTGTGTTGTAAGGGAAGATGATTCGGAAAAAGTAACTGCTGCGGTTGTCCCAGATATGTTTTACATCTCAACCAGTAACAATGCTGATCCAGAAATATGCAACAAAGCAGCCATACGATCAGCTCGCAGTCAGTCATGCGGGAGAGAGCCGGGACAGGGCAGTGGTCGCCAACGACGGACGGAGCAGGGTCCAGATAAGGAATATATGACAGAGGTGTCTCCATTCTGTGGCTGGGTTCTTAAAGAAGAATTTCCGGTTTTATGGCTTTCATTATGTCGTTTTTGGTACTTTCAAGCTTCCGAATTTGTTTTTGCCTGAAATGTTGCGATAAGCCTTATCTCTTGAAAATCAGCCACCGAAATGAAGGCGCATGAAAAATCTGTCGTGCTGTTAGCCATCCGTTCACTTTCAAAACTCTCACCAGCCTATGTTCAGACCGTATTTTGGCATCTATCTTGTGGAGGCACATGCCTCCTCAACGACCCAAATGCCGAAACACTATGAAATTTCGCCTCCCCAGGAAAGACCAAGTTCGAATACATGAATAATTTTGGGAGGCCGGATAGCCTTATTTGCCGAATGACAGATGAGTCGAAGAAGCAAAATTGTGTACCTAGACAAAACAATAGTATCGGCTTTATTCCTTGGAAGAACCAGGACAATGGAGATATAGTTGGGTTCATATTTCGGCGACATGCCTTCATCGAAACAATAGCAGCAGTGAATTCACTTCTGTTTGATGGGATGTGATGGTATCAGCGTGTAATGGTATTGGGGTGTGACGTATGTATGATGTATATGTGATGGTATTAGGGGTGTAATGAAGCTCAGTGAATTCACTTCTGCTATTGTTTCGATAAAGGCGTGTCGCCGAAATATCAACCCAACTATATCTCCATTCTTCTGGCTTTTCCGAGGAATGAGGCTGATGATACTGTCTTATTTATGTGAGTAATATCTCTCGCCAATGCATTGAACAACTTACGTAAGATTGTGTAACAGTGAGAAACAGCTATAGATGCATATCTAGGATGACATTTGAATTAAGTGCGTTAACAACCTCCATCTCTACTCCACCCTCCCACCCCTGGTCATCGGGCTTCATTTGGATACAAATTTCCTGAATTACGTCCTGACCTTGCTCCCCCCACACTTCCTGAAGCGTTCCTTCGCCTATGGTTGGCAGTGGGAAGAGTGGAGAAAGATGGAAAGAAAAAAATGCCTACCATCAAACTAGCGGAAAAGGAGCTCCTCTGCGAACGCGGCCTCCTTTCTTTTCACATTTGGAGGACTGAACAACACATCACACTCTTGATACAGGACACAGCTCTAAAATATAATCGAGAATAGACAAGCGCACCAACCGACGAACGACAAAACCAACAAAACCAACCGGCATTCAAAGTGATGGGCAGAATGGGAGCTAGCTGACTAACTGAACTTCTCCTCCACTGCCCTCTTGAAAATATGACGACAGTGGAATGGAAGATGGATTCGTGGATGCGCAATGGATCAGTGTCCACACCACGCCTTTTTCACCTGACAAATAGTTGTCGTTTTTTCTAATGTCAAACTTTCTCAAACCACGCTGGACAAAACTGTACCTTGCTCCATCTCAGCAAAGTTTGAAAAGCAGAGTTTGAAAAGAAGAGTAAAGTAAGTGGAGCATGGCAACATGGTTATTCGCGGGATCTTAGGTAGGAAGACACATGTTATCTCTTTCTCAAGCTTGTGTATTTACAATGATGTTGCAAGGAACGGAAACGTAGACCGCCAGAATCGTTTACAAACACGAGGGAAATGAAAGTATGGGTATGATCCATTTTACACCAAACCGCATACTTACGCAGGAACCGTAACACAAACAAGCACAAAAGTTCATTGCTTCATTCTGCTGGTCATTGTTTCACACAGGTCAAGAGGTGATCTAGGCAGTCGGAGCCACCGGCAGGTGCTCGCCCTGAGGCTGGAAGCCGTTCTCGTCGGCCACCCAGTTGACGGTGTAGGTGACGCCGTCGTCACCGACGAAGCTGTAGGAGCCACGCATCACAGTGCCGACCTCTTCGCCGATCTGCTTCGACTCGCCGGTGACCTCGGCGTTCGTGCCATCGCTCGTCTCGTAGGCATACTGGAACGAGCCGTCCTCGCCCTGGGTGCTGTCCATGCGGACGATGGCCACCTCCGGGGCGTCCTGGGGACGGGCGGCGACCACGGCCAGCACGGCGGCGAGAACGACCTGTGAAGGGGTGACATAGTTTGTCACGGTATTGTTACCCGTGGCCCGTATTGTGCAGATACAGCACAAGCCACTAAGTAACACACACATGATTACACTGCGCAGCTAGACACATCTGAATATGAAGAGCTATGGTGACTAAATTCGCGACCAATGCGATACAGCAGCGTACTCACAAACTTCATGGTGGGATCCGCAGTATGCGTGTTTCGCGACTGGTACCTGAATGTTTCTGACTCGGCGTTTTATAGGTTCGACCGTGAGGTGGCACATTTGAATTGATGTCTGGTGCCTGGGCTGTCGTGATTGGTTGAACTGTGACCCCGGTGTTGGAAATGAGAGAAGGTAGGCAGCGCGCGTCACAGCAGCAGAGTTTTACCAACTCCCTTGTATCGAAAGAAAGGGCGGTGCCAGCTCGCTTCGATGCAATTATACACGGTTTGGGGCACCCTTTGGCTTCGGTGCACTGCTGGTGACATGATTCGTGTTTTTTACACTCGACAGGCGAAAGGTTGCGTGTCACCAGCAAAATAACGTTAGTAGCGCAAAACAAGAACACAATCAATGTCAGTAACGTAGAATCTCGGTCACTAATAGCACGTTCATTACATCTGTTTTGCAAAACAAAATACACTGAAGGCATGTGAGGCCACTGATCAATGTCGTCATCCAGATGCGCTGAATTGCAACACGAGTTGAAGTGGAGGAGATCAACAGCGAAAACGACGAAACTTATCACAAAATGCGCTCACAAAAATCGTTCTCCTAGGATTTGGCGCAGGTTTCGTAAATTTGGGTGTGGGGTTAGCCTTTTCCAACATTTAGCGAAACAGCATCCACACCGCTGGGACGACCTGACAACCTGTATGTGTTGTTTTGTTTTCTGGCAAGGCTTGACGTCTTTGGGCCACAGGTTTTTTCAAGGGCAGAGATATAAAAGTTACAGCAGCAAATTCAGCCATAGGGGATTGGCAGCACAGCTTGCGGGAAAGTGTGTATATAGAAAAGCTACGTGTGGCATCTGATGGTGGGATAAAGCACGTGTGTATAACTTTCGTCAGGCTAAGTACGTCGGGTACGTGGAAAGGACTGCTTCGTTGTGTCGCAGATCTAATATCCACCTGTGGTGGAAGTGGCAGTGCATGCGGACGACGTGGAGGCCGCTTACCAGCAAGCAGCCGCGATGCCTCCAGTGCCCGTCCTGAATGAAGTGGACGAGGACGGCGGTGTCAACGAGTCGGACGAAGACAAGCTCCATGGCGGTGACGGCGAGAGAACCAAAAATGGCCTCCGCTGCGGCGACGAGATGGACGAGGTCAACATCGAGCATGGGGCGCTGTCCTTCGTTGCTGGCTTCGCGGCGGCCAAATGCAAGCATGATTATACTGATATCTGCCATAATTATACTCATATATAAACATATATCGCTCCTGGCCATAATCATGGATCTGTCTAGATGGCCCCGTTTCATTGTCCCATTTCAGTGCATGGGCTGGCACAGGGGCCGGCGCCGCCATTACCTTTTCCCGACGCAAAAAAAAAAATACACGAGATCAACAGCACGGCTCTCCGAGGCTCCAACCTCCCACCCCGCCCATTTATCCCCACCCGTGAGGTTTGAGGCCTGTGATTTAGGCACAGCAATAGTTTTTTGGACCACGTTGGTGTAAGTAATCCCGGACTTTGGTGACCAGGAAACAAATTTTTATTTGAAATCCCGGGCACTACCGTGGAGAGTAACACGAAGAGCCCAGAAGCGGTTAATTAGTAACAAGACTCGCATATAGCCGAGTGAACGTGTACGGTACGCAGCTGAAAGAACTATTTAAGGCACCAGAGCGAACCAGTATTGGAAGCTCATTGATGCGCTAGGTACTGCACCTATTGACGGTTGTGGGGCTTGTTGGTCAGTTCACGGTGCATAGATGCACTGTTAATGGGGCTGGGACTCGCTCGTGTAAACTTACCCTCTGCCCCCCCCCCCCCCCCCATCGCAAACCTTGGGCCACGCTCCCTGACCCTCATTCCTCTTCGCCTTTGTAGCATGGCTGGCTGTGCCACTTGTGTAGTAGTCAGGCCGCACTTTGTATACAAGATTATGATTGGAATTTCTCATTTCAATCTCCTATTGTAGTCGACAAACGGCACATAGCGGCAAAGATTGTGCATGCATTAGTGACTGTGTACATTACAGTAGTGAATCGGGTTCAAAGTTGTCTTCATAAAACAGACGGACATTTTCCTTTGAAGCACACGCATACTCACTTCGGTGTGCCGGCGATGTCCAGTTGCGTAGAAGGCACCACACTTGGTCGAAGACATGTTTTAACGTTGGGTATGAGACTGGCCTTAACCAGATGGCCAGGATCATAGTCATGATCTTGACGGTGATCGGATCAGATTACCGCATTCTTCACATTTAAAGTGTCAGTCCAAGAGCAACGGTGCACCCATGTTTTGAGGACTAGTTGGATCGCCTTTTAGAAATGTGAAAAAATAAAATGCCTTGATTGTGCCGTTAACATTCTTGCAAGAGGTCACCCCACAGGAAAGCATCTTGCTGCCAAAAAACTGACTTGGATACTCACTCTTGCCTAACGCTCGCACGCCTCCTCGAATTTCTCCCATCCACGATATAATAGCACGCACCGAGGTCACATAACAATAGAAACTTGATGCCACGCTGCACGATAATGGACAAGACCAACTGAAACAATTCTGCGCTACCACCGCTTTCCAAGCGACGCAGTTGACGTTGCTATGCAGTGCCGCCACGCCAACCAGTGCGACTTTGTGATGTCACCGCCTGACGTTAACGAGCCGCCCGCCCGGCCAATCTCACAATCTGTGATGATGCCCCCTGTGCCAACAGCAGTGGATCATGGCGATAAAACAACAGCGCAAATGGGAAATGTTAGCAAGAGCAAACAAAATCACGGATTCAGCGAGATTGATATCGCACAAAACGCGTAATATTTGTCCAAGGCGGAACATCAACGTCGCCTTTGGACTTCGTTTGATCAGCTCTGTTTACGTTACGTGCATTCAAAATAGTCCTCTAGCTTTTGTGTTGACTGCCGATGCTGACTGGCGAGTTTTTGTTCTATATATGCTCGCTACGGGTGATCGAATCATTTCAGCTGAGCCTCCTGTATTTCGGGCGGCCTTCAGCTTATAACCTAGTATTTAGCGGCATGACTTCAGAGTCTGAATCACTGGAATGCTTGCAATGTAAGAGTGATGTTTTGGAAATATGATGGTGGGAAAACAGTGAACCGACCTCAAACTCGCTGACCCCTACCCCCTGCCATGATAGGGAATCAATGCGACCCATCGCCAAGGTTTTTTTGGAGGCATCTGTCCGGAACGCTGCGCAACGATTTTTTCAAATCTAAAAAACCTATGATACATCTACTGCTAGTGTTTTCGCACGAACAGCGTGTTCCTAGCTTTCCTGACTTCGGAGCAGCGGCGGTTTTTGAGTAACACATGGCTGATCCACAGGCCGGCGTGGGGAGTCCGCCGCAAACGCCGAAACCACGGCGGGCAGATATCGTCACATGAAAAAAGTTCCACGTTTGAAGATATTACAGCAAGCAGTCAGACATGATGAAATAAGCTAACCTAAATTATTTTTGCACATTTCAGTGGAAAAGACCGTTATGGGCAACACGATTTCTGTACTTGATAAACACACTCCTCAATGCGTCATTGTTTTCATTGTTTCATCGTACCTTGCAAGACATTGATCGAACAGCGCCAGATATGAACAGCGCGACAACTCCGCCTGCTTCGCCATAATCGTGGCACGACCGATGGAATTGCAAGATTTTAATGGCGTTATTTGGGCACGGGTGCCTAAGTGACCTTAAAATAGCCTGCACAAACTAGTCTATACATTCATCACGGGCAGGCAACTTAAAACCAGAGGGGTTTAGGTCTTAAGAAGGGCATGGCTATGGACTGCACCAAATGATCTACTTCCTTTTGAATGCTTTGTTTCACATTGGAACATATTGAAGCAAACGTCGACAGTGATAAAACAAGCTCGCCTATGGCTATTCATATGCTTTTAAAACGAAAAGAATGCTATGGACAAGACAATCTCTGTATTTGGTACACGTGCTCATCACTGCCTCCTTACTTGATTACCGACATCGTACCTTGCACAACATTGATTGAGAGTTAAGTGATGACCGCTATGTCTTGCAATCGTGTTCACAAACACCAGATATGGCTGAGTCGACAATATGCTGTTTGGCCTTTTTTGCCGCGTGACTTATGGAATGACAGGATTTGAACGATGTTAATATAGCGTCATGGATGCGTAGGTGGCCTTGATATAGTATTGCACGAAAAAGTCCTGCACATCTTAGGGAGCGTTTAGTTTAGAAACGCACTTGGCTACACAGAAACTACAAAGTCTAAGACCTGACGGAGGACAGGACTGTGAACTGCACTAAATAATCTTCAATATGGGTACTTCAGGTTGATACGCCAAATAAATGTAGAACACGCCACTTAGTGGGTACATATGTGTAATATCCGGTCCGCTCTCGCTATCCGACCAAACACTACGTGAGGTGTCACCGTCAGTATTTGCCCCAATACCTCGGTAATCACAACAATAGAAATGACAACGTTCGACGCGACCAACCCGGTCGCGTCTCCCGCCACGCGCGCCACCACACCAAACCCCCAAAACCCGCAACAGGGACAAGTCTGGCGCAACTGTGCCAATTGCCTGGCGCGTGGGCGCGCACCTAAACAACTGCCATACACCACAATATATCACAAACGTGTGCTCAGAACACATACAACTATACACGATTGCATCCAGCCTTAAATGAGAAATACGCCTGTGTAGGTTTTATGTCACTACAGCCGACATACACGTTAACATACGTTACGTCACTGTCACGGTCACAACCATGTATGCATGTAATACATGTATACGCATGCAATATGTATACACGCATGCATGTATGCTGGACCAAATATGCATACATGCATGCATAATTGGGCCAAATATAAGTCCAGCAATATCACACTTATTCACAGTAGTAAGGTCGAATTGGGAACAATTCACTGGTGATTGCCGCTCAGCTCTATCTTCATTAGTTTGGAAACGGCTGGATGGTCACAACGACTTGCTCTACCAGTCCGCGTTATGAATAACGGTGAATCGAGGCGAGAGGTAAAAAAACAC